CAAAACATCGTTTTGCTTTCAAATCCATACCAAAATAGGGCATCCTCGCGTCGTATTTTCGTGGGCCATAATCCGTTCGGCCAACGATCCTCATTGCAAAAAACTTGGTGTATTACACTTTCTTCCCTTGGTCCGAATTGCCCTCCAGGGGATGTTTGCGTTCGTCTATTTGTCTTTTCACCCAATTTTTCATCCATCATTCGTATGCAAAACGCGAAATATGATTGAGCGCATTCTCGAATCCTCCCACCCCATATTCCTTGGGTCCACATTGGAAATGAACATCTGCAGGGGGCACAGTGACCATTTGGATTCTTAGGCGGAAGTCTTTTTAGATTTTTTTGCACTTGTTGGTATTTTTTTCCGCTTCTATGGACTTTATTGAACGGTTATAACTAGGGCCAGGAGTATTAATTAACCGAATACGACCTGACTTTCAAAAATACATACTTAGAAAATCGTAAATACACATCAAATTTTAGCTGCGACGAGATATCTTTGCGTGGTTTTTTACATTATCGGGGGGGGGGATTATCAGGGAAATTTTTTAAGCTGTTATTTTAATTTTTCAATAGTCACTAAATACTCTATTCAAAATAATTACTACCCCATTAATTAGGCAATGCGGTATTTATATAGAAAACTGTGTTTCCTCCTGATTAGTGCCATCCCCCTCCCATAATGCCAAAGCACCTCCTTCTTATACAATCCCCTTACTAGCCCTGGAATCAGCATTGTCCTTTTGCCAACCACAAAACAGCTCCCGACCCCCTCTTCCAAAGTGTCACAATAATTGTCGAAAATTCCGCGAACCCCGTTTCCTGTTGCAACCTCAACTTCCGTCACCAATTTTTTGGAATCGCCATCCTCACTCCCTAAAAACCCATCACATTGCCCCCGACGGCCATTTCATTTGATCTCCAATCCCTATCCGTGTATTTATGTCGTCATTCCTAACATTTGAATGCTTTGTATAAATTTATTTTCTTTTGAAGTGAACCGACAAATTTGATCGAACGTTGCTGACGCAGAAAGACAGATATAAAATCTACATAGATTTGCTAAAAGCAGCGTAGTCGGTTGTTTAAGATTCATAGTATTTGTTCGTTGGCTGATTTATGTCTATTAAATTAGAGTTAGAATTCTATAAAAGAAACAAAATCCTCCACTCCACCGAGTTGGTCAAAATTAGTTCCTAGGACCTAAATTCTGCTTTTCAAGTAGGATTTCGAAGAAAATGTATTTCCAAGAAGCATGTAGTAGACTCGAGCAGGTTATAATTTGAATGAACTCGCAATTCAATGCGCGCAGGCAGAAAATATTTTCCCCGAAATAATTAGTCTGCGGGACCGGAGAAGATTGACGGAATCCCCTGGACTTCCAACTTCAGGCAAAGTGAAAATATAATCATCTGCCCTTTTGGAAACAGCCGTTTGATTTTATTTAGGTGTGATATAAAAAAATCGTCAGAAATATTGTCATTATATTTATTTATAGCAACATTAATGTCAGAATCTTTGTGCGAGATTAATTAATCGAGAAAATTATTTGTACTAAAAAATTTACAGGATTTTTGGAAGCCTGAGATTTCCGCAGTTTTACGTTGTTGTGCCATGGTGCAGAATTCATCTAGCTGTTTTTAGCGCCACTCCTTCCAAAGGAGTAAGCCAATCTCCATCAGGCTACGCCTGGCTACCCAAAAACAATCTAAAAATGATGCAATTTTTCAATTGAAATTAAGGATTTTTAAATGAGGTTTAATCTAATTTAAAATTCTAAAAGAGCCCCGGATCTCAGCGGCTTCTCAAATTACACCGCCATTCGCATGACTCTGTTTGTCTTTCGCCCCTAATTTCTAGTTTATTCCGCTCAATGCCAAAATTTCAGGGTATTCCAGATAACTAGATATTTTTAAAATGTCTCCCGACGAGATTGACGAGATTCTGATGACGATCCAGGTTGCCGGGAACTTTTTGGGCATTTTCATCAACTCATTGTTGATCTAGTAAGTTCATTTCTAGAGTACGGAAAATCGCATACTTTTTATAGTATTATTCTAACGCGACGACCCCGCGAAATTAGGACCTATTCCATAATATTGCTGTGTAATACGCTGAGCGATTGGGTGAATAACGTGTCGCAGTTGTTTGTGCAAAACAAGTAATTTTTAACGATTTAGTAGCCTAAAAGCCAGACATTTTCTTTGAAATAGCTGTTTTGACAGAATTGAAGAAGCTCGGAAACCGTTGGCTTAACTAAAAAATCAGCTGAATTGTTTAATAGAAAATTTCCTATTTTTTTTAGATAAATTTTGTTTCAGAATTGTCCCCTGTGGCGTCGGGTTGGCTTACGTAAGCTTTGGCCCTTGCAAGCACCTCGGCCCCTATGCCTGTTTCTCGGGTTATATCATTTTAATGGGTACCTTCAGCTACGGATTCTACTTGCTGGTTGCTGCCTTTGCATACAGGTAACTCTCAAAAATTCAAATAACTGCGCTACCTTAGAAAATATGTCTTATTCAATAAACCGCCGAATCACCCGTCCACTTGGATCCTATGTGCGGCTTGTATGGTCCCGGCTTTGGTGCAAATGGTAGGCACTCGCTGTAAAATGGGCTAATCTGAATGTAATAGTACTGTTACGGTAATACAGCGTGTACCAAAAAAACTCGACTCCCCTCTAGCGGCACAGAGAACGCTCGGATCGGGATGATTTTTATACCATTCGAAAGCCCTTGGAAAGGCGAGAAAACAAGCGCTTTTCGTTTTACAATTTTTTAGCCTGCACTTGATATTCAACGACTTCTTAAAAAGGCGTAACATCAGCATTGTCGTGTTAGCTTTAGGAAGCAATTAACATGGGGATTTGCATAAAATTTGCAGTTTTCACGGATTTTGGTCCTGAATTTAGCGAATAAAAATGTCTATATCGAAAAACGAGAAGTGCCTAAGCCTAAGCCTTTTCGAGAGCTTTCGATAGATACCTAAATCCTCAAAATCGGACATTTCTCCGAGTCGCTGGAGGGGTTCGGTTTTTTTGGGACACCCTGTATGGTAATAATACATAGAAATGGTAATACGCTTAAAAACCTTATTTTTCAGACCACAGCATTCCCATCGTTAGACAATGAAACGGCCGTCCGCTCCATGCTCCAAAAACAAGAGCCATTTTCCAATTATTCGGGGTATATCGTTACCGGTAGCTAAAAACGTACTACTTTTACCTATTCTGCTCTCCAGGTCACCTCAATATTTTTGATTCGTTGATAATTATAAAAATAATGCACATATGCTTGCTCTGCGGCCCGCTCTATGCATCGATTTTGATAATTCGGTAGGGTTACAACGCTAAGTGAGTTATTTTTACAGACACCAGACGCTAAAACATTTGCGAGATGCTTTTACGATTTCTGCGACTACTAAGCGGATGCATACCCAGTTTATCAAAGTTGGTGTTAACAAATATGTCCTGCCGTGGTAGCAAATCTGTGAAAAATGGAGTTTAGGCACTGACAGTCCAATCTTTCCTACCATTGTTCGGTACTCTAGCCGTGGTTGTGTATCTACCACAACAATTGGGTAAGTATGGTTATAACATACGCACAGGGTATTTATTCGTACCTTAAAGGGGCCCCGAAATCTGGTCCACAGCCCCCTGCGTTGATTGCTGGCAAATAGCCAGATGCGGCCGCAACGCGACCGCGTTCTACCGTTTCTCTAGTCGCTGTCTCGAAGGAAAAACGCTTGGATTTCAAAATTCTGACGTTATTCCTGGAATCCTTACGCAGTTTTCATGATGCTAGTCGTTTCAATTATGAAAATTGACCGAAAAATCACCGAGATCGTGAGATTCGTTGCCTTACACGGCATTACGACATGTAATCGCCGCCCACTAAAAAGCCGTTTTTCGCCCCGAAAACATCTAGGTTTTCTCAAATATTTTGCGTTTTTTTGGCAACGAAATAGATTTACTGGCACTTTTCGGCGACAATCCTTTCGTTTTATGACATGTTGATTCAATCCCGGCACACGCAAATTTTGACTTCCGAGCCCCTTTAATATTTTCAACGTTCGTGTCCGTGTTCTCAAAGAAAATTGTATCACGCCGTTTAGGTTGGCTTGACATGCCCTGGGCCAGCCATCTGATCCTCGCCACAGCACTCCCAATTACGATTTGCAATCCATTGGCGACGATCTATTGGGTTGGAACATATCGACGGGCGGCGGCCAGGATTCTTGGTTTGAACAAGACGCGTCGATTTATGATGGTCTCTGATACGCCGATGGGAGAAGTAAGGTATGTTTCAGAAGGATTGTCGCAGCTGAGTTTATTTTTCATAGCAAAGACACAGGGTCCCCAAACGTAAGCCGACAAACCCCGGTTTTCTCCAGATTTTAGGATGTTGAGAAGACATCGATTCTTCTTTCTAGAATTTTCTGAATTCCTTTGACACAAATAATCCATAGTGGTGCCATTTTCGTCGTTCTAGAAATTTCATGACTAACTCCGGAAAAACGTGTCCTTAATTTTGTTGGCATGACTCACCTACACCCCGAAATGACCGCCAAAATAAATGAGGAAAGGCCCTCACGAGGAGAAGACTTCAAAAACTGTATCTATCCATCCTCTTTCCCCTAAAAAGGCTGTTCCCCGGGCATCTTCACGAGGTCCTCTGGACGTTGGCGATAGTAATCTCACGTTGTTGGGGACTCTTTGGGCAACACACTTCACGATAGTATCTGTATAAAAGGGGGATGTTTTGGTCATTTGGGAGGTTGAGAGTTTTGCTTGCATTTTTGGGCAATTTGGCTCAAGGTCGGATTTTACGGTACTCCTGGGGTTTTTACAAGAATTGGAATATATGCTCTACTTTTTTTTGGTTTCTAGTTTGAAACAATTGAAGAAGCTAGACCCTTCACCTTTCCATACAAAAATTTTAGCTGTTTTTGGGCTTCATCCCATTTTCAGCTATCGCGTGACCAGCTGCGCTCGCTAAAATCATGCGCCTTATCATCGCCTTCGCGGTAAGTGAAAGCATACGGTAGCATAGTCACAATTTAGCTCCTCGGAGCGGCCCTGGCCGGAAAGGCCGCCCAGAGTTGCCGTAGTAGTTCGGATTGTGATAGGAATTTCATCTGCGAAAGAGGATACTGCCAAGACCCGAAAGAAATCGTCCTTGACGGTAATTTAAGTCTTACTTGGTAAATTCAACAACGCATACAATTTAGGTGATTGCAACAACCCGAACGAGGAATGGCTAGACTGCGGGTTGACCACCGAGCCGACTTGTGAAGATCAGAAGACCTCACATAAGGCATGAGACTGCGGCTCGTTTTAGGCTTTACTTTAGGACTGCTCGAGGCGCGGGTGCTTCTGCCGTGAGGGATATGTCAGGGACAACAGCCGAAAATGCATCCGAAAGAGTGATTGCCCGAAGAAGCCTTGTAAGTTAGCCACTTATTGCTAGCTAGTTAAAGTTTCTAAATGGTTTATTGTCGAAAAACAAAAACTAAAAATACACAAAAATGCAGCCCCTTCATCCGATTCATGCTTCATCGACCGTGACTGCCCATCCGGATTTGCATGCGGTTTTGGAAAGTGCACCCCATTGAAGCCACGAACTCCGAGCAGCGCGAGGGCTGGAGATCGTAAGTCTAAAACCGGGTACATTTCAAAATTACTGTAGGATGCAGCATCAAGGCCGACTGTGGGCCAGGGCTAACTTGCCGAGATTCCCGTTGCGAGCGCGAGCAGATGAACAGCGGACGTGCTGGGGATAGTGGGTGTTTTATAAAATTCGTTAAATAATTTCATACTGTATTCGACAGGTTTACTATAAAATGGTCCATTGATCGATCTACAGTATCACCCTTCAGGCTGCCGCGCTAGCATTGAATGTGAATCTCCTCTGAATTGTCAACTCGGAAAATGCTCGCGGGGATCAGCCCCTGCGCCACTTCCATCCCAACATGAAGGACGTGAGGGATCTCGTGAGTTTTCGCACCAAACGAAACTAGTCACCGCCTTTAAACTACCTACCGATACCTTTTATTACTTACTACAATTTAGGCTGCATCACCAGCTTCGAGTGCGAATCTCCTCTAAACTGCGAGCGTGGCACCTGCTCCCGCCAAACCTCTGCATTCACTAGCTTCCCCCAGACCAGTGGCAGAGGCGGAAGTGGTAAGCCTTTCTTCATTTTTTAATAGGAAACGCATGATTTTTAATGTACGCTCCTTACTAACCAATTCTAGCCGTCGGCTCTATGCGCCAACTCTTCCCAAACACCATTTTCACCCGTCAAAACGGCGACCGCTTGCACCCAGAACAAGTCGAAAACTCCCTAACACTCCTCTTTTTCTCAAACGCAGCCTCGACGGCCGGAATCACGGTCTTTGACCAATTGAAAAGATTCGCGGAAGAGATCCGGGCCAAGGGGCGACGCCTTGAAGTCATCTACCTCGGTATCGATGACCTCACCAAGGAGCGCTACGACGCCTTCCTCAATCAATTCCCCAAAGAATGGATCGCCCTACCGTACCGTGACCCGTTGGCCCGAGAGTTGTTGCCGAGATTTGGCGTCACTGGAATGCCTCATATCACGCTTTACAAGGGCGGAAAGATATTGATCGACGATGTTCGAGAGGATTTGCATCTTTTCCATTATCGCGGGGATTCGGCCGGGATTTTCGCGAAATGGGAACGGCTCTAATTGGGTTGATCGGTATTTCGGGGTGAATAAATGATTCGATGTACGGACAGGCGGTGGAATTATGCATGTGATGTACTAACCAAAGCATGGCATTCGAAAGGCGTCTAAATTTTTAGATTTTTACTTTTAAAAAAAACACTTTTTTCGCGCTTCGTAACCTCACAAAGAGCCTTATTAAGCTTAAGGGAAACGTGTAATACTGTCAAGCAGTAATTAATTCTGTAGATAAGAATAAAAATCACAAACTTAGATTGCCGTAAGGATATTGATTGCGATCCCGGCCTCCTTTGTGCTCGCGGCCAAGTTTGTCGCCCCACCGACCGCGAGAAGCGCACCGAGAGCGAGCGTAAGTTTGAAAAAATCGTACTCTCATACGTTATTCAGTGTGCGAATACACGCATCAATGTGAGGGCATCCTCATCTGCCGCGATTCGAAATGCCAGCGCTCCAGGCCCTTGTAATTCGCTTTTGGTGACTTGTGAATTCGTGAAATCGCTCGTAATTTCTTTATAACACGGTGTATACTCTAAATACATGTAAACTTTTATCACCCGTTGATTTGTAACACGGCACACATCAAAGAAATTGGAACACAAGACCGGAAAGACAATGATTTCATACGATAAACGGGTTTCCAGTGGAGGTAATCGAGATTTTTTTGACGACGTGATGCGGAGAGTCGACGCGGAATGTTCCTGGAATGGCGTTATTGGTATATGCTATAATTCTTCCGTATTTTTAAAGAACTAAAACCTACTTTCGGTGACGGATACTGCAGTGGTCCGTGTAGTATGTACAATAGGGGATATACTATGCTCTTCAGCCCCCAGGCTTGATCTTCGCCTCCCGGGCGCCAGGGATAACACCGGGGAATCGGTTAGCGTTGTTGAGTCGACGCTTTTATGTGTTCTAAACAATCTATTTAGTTAATAGATTTTAATGTTTTTTCAGTTATCGGTTGTTAACGTATTTTTCGAGCTACAAACCTCAATGGCGGCCTTTTGCCTCGCTGCTGAGTTTGTAAAAGTGGGATAACTTCCGTTTCGCCACTCGTCTTCGACCATTCACGCTTCGGCGGAGATCCAGCTGAATGAGATGGAGATGTTTCCGCTGCTTTACAACTTACAGCTCGAAGACGTCCTCGATTCGGTTCTGGCAATGCGCTCCTCGTGCTTTGGCCCGATGGCTATGTTTCGATAGCTAAAAATCGTGGTCCATTAAATTATTTATTTTTCAATTGTAAATCCGAAATAGAAAATAAATCAAAACAGACAAACCCGTGTTTCCCACCACCCGCTGGAGACGCTCGCATCTCGATGCTGCCTCTACGCGCAGTTTCAACATGTCTGGTCACGCCTGTAATAAGTTGTATTTTGCCCTTAAACCAGCGTTTTGGTAACGAAAAAGCTTAGAATAAAACGAACCTGGTTGTTTTGTGTAATATCGGCGATCCCCATGGGTGGGAGAATCGCTGGCGTGGCTCGACTCCGATATTCTAGGTTTTAAGTGGTTAAAATTCGTTTATAAAACTAAACCGCACTTAATTGAGAAAATATATCAAAATAACTGATAAAACCGTCTTTCGAAGATAATAAAGCTGCTATAACATAAACAACCGGCCAAGAAGAATGGCCAAAGTCCAGACCGAACAAAAAACAGCTGACATCCCCTCACCTCGCAGCCCAACGAAAAGCTCAATGGACCAACCTGTGATAAACGGAGACCCTGGGTGGCGAGACATCACTACTGCTTTTGCTGTAGCTCTGCTTGTTCATCGATGATGAGCTGGCTTGAGAGGAAGTGCGCGACAGCTTGTCGGGCGATTTCTCCGGCGAATATTCTGGCTTCGGGGGTGGCAGCTCGTATCGCTCCTCGATTTGCCGAAGGATTTTGGCTGATTTAAGCTAAGGAACGCGTCGATTTCCTAGTTTTTTATTACCTCTTCCACCACCACATCCTCGCCCCACTTCACGTGGGCGTTCGGCTTCGACTTTTTCTCCTTCACCGGCTTATTCTCGTCGAATTGACCTTTATACTAAAAAAATTAACTTACGCAATTTTTGTATTTATAGCTTCTATGCCCACTTCATTCTTAATCCAATGCATTTGTCCAACGCTATCTCTATACGTGTGCTTTAACGGTGTGTTTGGCAAAATTCCGCGTAAAAATTTTATCGAGCGATCAGTTTTGAGAGTTTTTCTTTCAAGCCACACCGTTAAAGCCACCAAGGCACGCCTTTTAAACTTAAAAATCACACCTCCATCGGACCGCCGCCCCAACTAGCCGTCCGCCACAGTCCATTTTCCTTGGCTTTCCGGACGCGCTCGCTGCACCGCTCGAAGGCGCTCTCACGGCGTCGTCTTTGCGCCTCGAGTTTCTGAAATCAATCGTTAATTACTTGCCTTTTGTAGCTTTTAGTTTCTACCACAAAACTATATAGTTCAAGCGCGTATTTGACCCATTACATAGTGTAATACCCGCGGCGCCTCTCGGAATAGGCGGTCGTAACCGGTTCCCGGCGGCCCTTTTTCTGTACTTTGCTCCCCTCTCCCGTCTTATCAATCATCAATCCATTTCCAGCCACCCTTTTGAGCGCAGCAAACTCCACCGATGATTGGGCGACAAATAGCACGGTGGTCCACGACTGTAACAACCACAATAAGGTTAGTACCGATCTTCAAGCGCCAAAATTCTTTTAGAATGGCTTCCGGAGCAACGAAATACGCACACGCCAAGCTTGGAGAATTCACACAAACGGAGCCGGTCCTACACAACACGTTTACTGATGACCCGATGATGGAGCGGGTTTTGAAGCGACATTTATCTCCTTCGGACTATCAGAAAGTACTTTTTTTAGCTTTGCTAAAACATGTATATAGGTTGCACAAGATCTGGACAAATTTGGCGACCGAGTGGTCAAGGAGATTACGGCTAAGGGAGCGCAATGCGAGGTTTGTTTTTTATCGATCGCAAAACATCTTTTTCTTTGCATTTTTTTAGATTGACAAGCCTCGCCTCGAGCAGCACGATGCATGGGGAAAGCGGGTGGATAGTCTTTGGGTTTGCCCGGAATGGCGTCAATTAAAGGGTGTTTGCGCTGAGGAGGGAATTATTGGTAAAGCACTTTCAGAAATACCTAATTCCCCCGTTTTTAGCAATTGGCTACGACGATAAAACGGATCCGGTGGCTCGGCGAATGCATCAGGTTGCAAAATTATTTCTCTTCTCACCATCAGCTGGGCTTGTTACTTGCCCGATGGCTATGACTGATGGGGCCGCGAAAACCATTGATGTGAGTCAATTATTGGAATCACTGGAAGCTCTTTTTTTAGGCCTTGGGACTCCGCGGAAAACATGATCTGGCCACCGAAACCTATAATCGCCTAACCTCTAGAGACCCACAGAAGGCTTGGACCAGTGGTCAATGGATGACGGAAAAGCGAGGCGGATCAGACGTCGGAGGTGGATGCGATACTTATGCGGTTCATGTGAAAGGGGATGAGGTATCGCTTCCAAACATTAAATTATAACAATTTTTAGTACCGGCTTCACGGATACAAATGGTTCAGCTCGGCGATTGACGCCGATGTGGCGTTGACGCTCGCCCGGGTGGTTGATGATAAGGGAGATGCTCAGGCGGTAAATGTTGCGTTCACTGCAAGTTAGTAAGGGTTCCAGGGCTCCAAAGGACTTTCTCTCTTCCTGCTCAAAATTCGCAAAGATGACTCTCAAGAGCTGAACGGGATCCAGATGATTAAGCTGAAGAATAAGCTCGGTATGAAAAATTTTTTGTAACGTTATTTATGTTTAGGCACCAGACAGCTACCGACAGCTGAACTATTGCTCGATGGTGTCGTGGCTTATAGGCTAGGCGATGCTGGACGGTACATACAAGCAAATATTGATAATTGTCTATTTTTAGGGGAATCCCCCACATCTCCAACATGCTGAACATCACCCGAATCCACAATGCCGTAGCAAGTGTCGCCGGAATGAGAAGGTAACTTTTTCTTTTTGCGAAAAACTTTTAGTTTTAGAATCTTGTCACTTGCGCGTGATTATTCGACTCGCCGTCTCGTTTTCGGGCAACCACAAGAGAAGTGGCCTCTCCATCTCGCTACGCTGGCCAAATTGGAGGTATTTTTGTAAAGGGGAACGTTTAATATCTTTAATCTTGCAGGTGGAAGCCCGTGGTTGCTTTCTAATGCTGATGGATGCCGCTCGATTGTTGGGTGTTCAGGTATTCCTTGGATAACCGAAATTTATTTTTCTAGGAATCCGGCAAAGCCACGCTGAACGACCTGGTAATGTTGCGCTTGATTACGCCGGTTTTGAAGCTGTACACTGCCAAGCAGGTAGAAATTGTTTAAATTTAATTTAGTTTTCTTGTTTAGTGTGTCCCGCTGATCAGCGAGGGCATTGAGTGCTTCGGTGGGCAAGGTTATATCGAGGACACTGGCTTACCGACCTTGTTGAGGGACGCCCAGGTATTTTTTGGGCATCTATTAAAATTATTGCTAGGTGACCCCAATCTGGGAAGGCACCACCAACGTTCTTTCGCTTGATGTTCTACGCGTCTTCTCGGGCAAAGAAAACGTCTTCCAGGCCTTGAATGAGTATATCAAGGCGATATTGCCAAAAGACGGTAAGCTTCTTGGTAAGAAATTTACTTTTCTTCTCTTTAGTGAAGCCCGAGCTGAAATCAAGCGTTGATGCCGTCAAGAAGGGAATGGTTCAATTTGGGCAGCTTTTGGCAAAGGTCAACGATTCCTCGCTGAACAGCCAGATGCGAGTCGACGTGTGCGCTCGGGATATCGCGTTTGCGATTGGGAAAATATTATCAGGTACGACAAAAAAAATTTTGGCTCATCAGCAAAAGCATATAGGCTCTCTTCTGATCCGCCACGCTAGCGATGCTGACAGTACGACTGCAGATATCGAAGTGGCCAAGAGGTTTGTCGGCTTTTTGTAGGATAAATTGGTGAATATTTCTTGTAGATGGTGCCTGGAGCAAGAACTCGTGCGACTCGATCTCGAATGGTTCACCAAGCAGCGTATCGCCAACGATCGTGCCATCGTTTTTGAGAACTATGCGGGCAGCGCTCGGCAAAGCAAGCTGTGAATTAGTTTTTTAAGCATTGTACATTCATCACTTGTGATTTACGTTTAGAAATGGGTTTTCTTGAAGCTGGTCTTTGTAAACAGTGCACTAATCGTTTTTTGCTCAATAAAACGAAATATGAAGTTTTCAAAGTGGTAGAAAAATGGGAGACGTTTCTCCCGCTCCCCTTAAAAGCGACTAGCGCGTCTTCTCCACGTTTTTCGACACATGAAGGCTCAACACCCGCCTGTTTCGTTGAGCACGAAATTCGAGCCGCCGATCGAAGATAAATTTTGCACGCGAGCAAACCCTAGCACAATCTTTCCCACCTTCCCACGAGCCACCCCCGGCTAACGACTAGGGAAGGAGGGAAAGCCGGATGACGCAAGCAGTTACAACGGAATATCATGGCACCCTCACTTCGTGGACAGAGTGAGAGAGAGAGACAGCAATGGACAACCGACACCCTCGCCACAGAAAGAGAGGAGAAGCTCCACCTGGCCGTTTGGACAGATGATGGACGCGGCTGGGCCACATAGTGGCGGAGGATTATTAACCCAGCATGGCAAGGTATTTTTTGGCAGGGAATAGCGAACGAAGAAACAAAATGCTGCAACGACGCCTTCGAAAAGCCCGAAAATGTGATAAAATGAACTTACACTAAATAGAGCGAGCATTTCACCACGGAGGTGAAAAGGTAGGTCTGGAAGGCTGCGAGAAGGGAGGAGAAGCGTGGCCAACCTACATCCGTTCGAGGAAGGATTGGAGCGAAAATGGGTTGAATTATCTGTCATATTTAACTCGTAGCTAGCGAAGTTTTTTAGCTTCACCAATACCAACTTTTCGGGACTCAATCAACGATTTCGGATATTTGAATCGATTTTAACTGGTTTTTGCGCATACACAGAGACATGGATGCCGGCATCCTGCCGGGTGGCAGCCGGGAAATCGCCGCGTTCTTGCCGGGTGGCAGCCGCCGGCTGCCATCCGGCTGCCGCCGGCAGCCGGCGGCTGCCATCTGGCAGAAACCCGGCTGCCATCCGGCGAAAACCCGGCAGCCGGGTTTCTGCCGGCATAGGCCGGCTCTTCACGAATCGCTTTTGCCAGGTTCTTGCCTGCATCCTGCCGGTTATTCGCCGGCCAGTTGCCGTGCTTCTGCCAATATATTGCTTCCGCTTCCGCTTGGCTATTGAAACGTAGGCGAAGCCTGTAATCTTGTGCCAATATACTAGTGCTTTATCTTGTCTTTAATTTCGTTTATCACTTACTTTTCGAAGCACGAGATCACTTGGCAGTAGACGTTCCCCAGCAACAGCGAACTGTAACCTTGCATTAGTTTAACCCTTTTCAGCGTTAATGAGTTTTTAAACCCCAATGAGCTTAACTTAATAGTAAATATACTTTAAAAACTACGGTGCTTGGATACGAGTAAAGCAGGTGCAGTTTTCACTACAGGGTTTATCTAGGAACAAACGGTTAGATTTTACTAAACTTCTCTTGTTTCTACTTCGTCACATTGGCGAAGCATATCGTGTAACGTGTAGGCTGGTTCATTATAGCCCAAAACTTCCTAAAAGGCTAATGAAAACCGAAATACCTGGCTCGTCTGCAGTTCCGTTTAACTTGACATACAGGCACATTGAACCCGGGGAAATGACGGCGGCAGATAATGAATCGAAATAAACTTTATCTGAAAACCTCCAATAATTCTGGCGGAGAAATCAAAAGTGTTGCCTGATATATCAAATCTAAAAACTCTAGTACCAATTCACAGACTGCGTTCTAAAAACATCAAACGTTTTTATAAGCTGTATACTTTACCTCTTGTTGAAGAACTGTAAAGACTAACTTTATGAAAGAAGAAACTGAAAGGCGCAAAGAAAATAGGGAAGAGCCGAGAAATCTCGTAAGTTGGGGTAGGGCTACGAATAAATACAGGTTTACACCGGCAAGAATCCGGCAGTATCCCGGCAGCCGGCAGAAAGCCGGCAGGATTCCCGCAGACTCGGCAGCGGGACCGGCAAGAAACCCGGCCGCCGGCTTTTTGCCAGGTTGAGCAGCTGGCAGCCGGGATTGCTGGTAGAGGTCCCGGCAAAAATCCGGCAGAAAACTCGGCAAGATCCTGGCTGCCGGCCGGCAGAGCCATGCTTCCTGGCTGCCAT